TTCGAGCCCTGAGTCGGGCTCTGTGCTGACAGTTCAGAGCCTGGAGCCTGCCTCAGATTCTGTGTCTCCCTCTCTCTCCCTGCCCCTCACCTGGTACTGCTCTGTCTTCCTCTCTCTCAAAAATAAATAAACATTAAAACAAATTACAACAAATTGCTAGTGTTTAAATGGCTTTGGACAGAAAGGCAGAAACTGACAAGTCCAGAATTTAGAAAATCTTACTCAGAACCCAAGCAAACTCAGACATAGCAATAGCACAAGCATCTGGCTGACTTAAGAACATTAGCTTTACACAGCTTGATTCACTGTACTTTGCAAAGGTAAATAATAAGAGTATCGTTTTACATTAAGTAACACCAACCTGAAGAATAGAAACACCAGGAACCTGAAAAATATGATGAATGTGACTCTCTCTCTCAGTTGGCACCTTTTAATAATTGCTGTAGACATCTACTTAGATGGAGCTTTTGATTCCAAATTTCATGGAAGAGTTGTTGGGGTTTTGTTTTTGTTTTTGTTTTTTTCATTACTAAACTTCTGGAAAGGAGATTTTGCAGCGGGGTTAATCATGGGTCAGACAATGATGCCCTGGGAGAGCCCGGCGGCCCCACTTCCCTGTGCCTGCAGATCTCTGTCCAGCTGCCTTCAGTTCAACAGGCCTTGCGCTTTGAAAAACAGGTGAGCAAGCAGTACTTATTAATAATGCAAAGTCTGTTTTTCTTCAAAGCCTTACACAATACCCAATCAGAGTTCCTGATCACTACGACAGCCACTGCGGACATGCGGAAGTGACCTCACACCACCCAGAAGCGAGGACGTGAGGAGTGTTAGCATTCCTGGAGGGCCTTATGCATAGGCGGGAGTTGTATACATTGATTAGACTCTATAAAGCACCGGGACAGGCTTGCAGACTCCGTTTCTAATCTCACAGTCCCCCAGGGGATCAGGAGACCCCCCCCCCCCCATAAGGGGAACCACTTAATTTTGTGGCTCAAACTGCAATCATTTCTGTTGGTAAATTCCAAATCTGACCTGTCTGGTAGTCACCAGGGTGAGGGAGGGGGATCTGACACTGCTCAACGGAGCCCCCAAGAGCCGCCTGTGCACTGTGTCCGATTCACAGATCTGCCGCCATAAAGAGTACAGTAAGTCCTAACAGCGCTCAGAATGGATAGGCACCAAGTGAGAGTGGTTTAGCTGGGCTGCCCGACGATGCTTCTGGGCCAGGGAGTTTACCATCAATCACCCTGCACCTTCTTTGTAAATTCTTTCTACAATCATACTTATCGATGCAGCCTTCCCCAGGCTGCAGTCCTTGTACCTTTTATGCTACTGCTTGTGGGGTCAACTCTGGCCTCTGACACCTGTTATCGCTATGTTACAGCCTGGACTGTGACCCCCTCCCAAATTCACATGTTCAAGTGCGAATCCCTGGGACCTCTGAACGCGACTGCATTTTGAGACAGGGTCTTTACAGAGGCAATTAAGTTAAAACGAGGTCGTAGAGGTGGGCCCCAATCTAACCTGACCTGAGAGAGGAGACTGGACACAGATGCACAGAGAGGGTGAACTTGGTGAGGACACAGGGAGAAGACAACCATCTACATGCCGAGGAGGGAGGTCTCAGAAGAAACCAACGCTGCCCCCACCTTGATCTTGGACGTCCAGCCTCCAGAACTGTGAAACAGTAAATCTTTATGATTTAAGCTGCCCCACCTGTGGTCCTTTATGATGGCGACACTAGCAAATGAGCACATCCCCAGGAAGCGGAAAACACGTGAAAATGCCATTCATTTATAAAAGATATAAACCAATAGGTTTCCAAAATTGGATACCTGCTCGTATAAGTTGAAGAACAGGCCACTGGGTAGAATTTGAGAGGCAGTGGAGAAAACTCTACCAGCACCTGTGATTTTATGTGGATCTACAAATTAAGTTGCAAATAGCCCTAGAGCAATGAGGATGTGACTCTAATTGTTATTCGCATAAGATGACTTCGTGGACTCGGTGAGTGAGGTCTTCTGCTGACATCTGGCTGAGATCATCACCCAGGCTGTGAGGAACAGGGACTATGATGGCATCGGTAGGGAGCAGGGAGAGAAGGGAAAAGACAGAACTGTGAAAAGTGGGCAAGGAGCCACGTGCCCACGGAAGAGCAGCCCAGGAAGTCAGGGAAAAGCCACATCTGTGCAGGGGCCCGACACACAGAATCTCAGCACCAGACGTGATCTTCATCCCAGACAGATGCCCGGAGAGAGCACTCGGCCTCCAACACTACCTCCCTCTCTCTAGGGAAGCAGAGAACAGACGCTTTAAACACCTGTGTGCCTCCCAGGGAAGGAGACCCAGAACTGGCCTCCCTTTCACTTCCTTCCTTGCTGCAGTGAACACCATTCCATGCAAGACCTACCTGGACCACACCCCAGTTTTAATTAGATTATCTTCGGAGAAGAGCAAAGCGCTTCAGACAGGACACGCTTTCCTTTTCCACTGCCTGTACACGGTGTTGTGCAAACTACAGCCTAGACTGGGGGTTGTCTCGCTGAAGCCCAGAAACTCCAGAGCACGCAGGTTAACACGGGCTGTGTCCCAGCGCTCAGCCACCGCCACCGGGCATAACTACAACCCACGGTCACAGAAATGAGCATGATATATACACTGCGCAGAATGAAATCATTAGGAAGGTGCACATATTAGAGGAGCGAGCGTGTCATCAAATGTATGGAGCTGCTTTGCAACGCTCATGCACGTGTACAACCTGGCAGCTGCCAATGATTGGATGAAAGTTAGGAATGAAGTATCACTTGGAGATGAGAGATGTACTCAACACTCAAAGGACAGGTTCACGGGTATCTGATTTCTTCCCAAGATCATATCTGTCCCATCTCCTATTTGTGGCTAACATCTCACATCTCCAGAGCCTGCAACACATTCTGTTGCTGGTCCCCGATTTTCGAAAACAGGAATCAAATAAGAGCCCCCCGCCCCTCCCTGGCTCACAAAGGCAGCTCTGTGGCATCCAGCACTTAGCGATGAATTACTAAAATACAAGTTTGAATTCTTCTTTCTTTCTATCATCTCAGGTAGATGATCGGCCACCCTATGATGTGTCTAGTCTTTTTAGATCAAAATGCAACACTTCCTTGGCCGACTTCATGAGACTCTTTTAAGAAATGACTACAAAATGACATACAACACAAACAACAAATGTTAACTAATAAAAACTAATGGCTTGCGTTTGTTCTTAAAACTTGTATAGATTTTCTCATGAGCCTGAAACTCCAGAGAATTATTTTGTTGGGCCCAAGCCTCCAGCCCCCACCCAGGCCAACATGGAAGGTTCTTGTGGCTTTTGCCAGGACCTTTGCCTCGGCACCAACACATCTGCAGAGACAGGTGCCCGGCTTCCCACCAGCAAGAGCATCGTGGGGGCAGGGCGCCTACCTAACTCCTGGTGTGCAGTCAGGGTCTGGTTCATGGTTGTTTCTCGACAAAGTTGTCCTTGTTTCTCCAAAGGGCTGGAGCGAACAACTATGCTCAACAGGCAGCCCTGGGGATGCACCCTGGGCGTGAGGTCCTTAGAGCTCCCACAAGTCTTAGGTAAGAGAGTAGGGAAAACAATCCCAGAGGGGAGATGTGCTTTGTCCGTGTCGTGCAGCTGGTTAGTGGCAAGGCCAGGATGGACACCTGTGTTTCCTGACTCCGAAGCCCGGCATTCTTTCCACACGTGGTACCTTATCTACAGATCAGTCCTTTCTGGCTTTCTATTTCCACTATGCTGAGGATTGATGCCTAAAATTCCTTAGGGATTGTCCCATCCCGAGCATATCCTAAATGTATGGATCTCAGAAGCTGAGTTCCAGGGGAGACGCCAGCAGGATCACTTTCACCACCACCACCTCCCCCCCTTCCCTGCTCAGCACTGGGGGCTGCAGGCCCCAGGGCGCCCCCTGCCGCCCAGGAAATCTCTCTCAGCCAGGTCAACAGGCCATGGCCAGGCAGGCCATAGGTAGGGGGTCTGGATGAAGACCTGTGCGGTTCCGCCCAGGCCCCCAGGGAGACGCAGGGCGTTGGAGTTCCCCAAGGGACCAGCACTGGCAAAGGGCCAACATCTCCACCCAAACCTGCGCCCCAGGAAGGCTGGGCTTCTGTCTCGCATAGCGCACAAGTGGAAAAGCCTGACACACGAGTCTGCTTCTCAACAGCTGTCTCGTCTGCACCCTGTCCTTTCAATGTTCTGTGCCTCAGTTTCCTCTTCTCCATCAACTGGAGATCACAGGTAATCACCTCTTTCACAGCATGCCGTGAGGTTTAGCCCCGTTAATGCACAGGAAAAGCGCAGCCTCCAACCTGACACACAGTGAGCACCGGGGAGATGGCCAGTGCTGTAAGTATTGTTACTAGTTCGCCCCTAAAGTAATAATAATAGACAACCCTAAACTGGACTTTCTGGCTTTTGCCATCCCCTGGTTCTGGCATCCAATGAGCAAGCATTTTCTTTTCCTTTTCCTTTTGAGGACATTTGCGTGATACCCCAACCTATAATCTGGGGAGACGGCTTATTTATAGGAATAGTCTCCCTTAATTAGCTATTAGCCGAAGACTAGGTCCCAAATGGCACGCCAAATTACCCTGTGTTTGAAAACGGGTTGAGCGTTTCAGCTGCCACGCTTTTGAAATCAGGAGCAGCGGGTTACCAGGAACAGCGCAGCCAGTTAGTGCTCCGGGGCCGGCAGTCCCTTCGGTGCCGCGGGCCTCACCCTCTCCAAACCCTCCTCCGGCGATGACCTAAGGAATTAATGTGGATCGGCCCCACTTTGCCTTAAAGATTACCTCTGCTCTGAAAAGAGAGATCGTGTTGAGGGGACGCGAGCACAGCGCTGTCCGCCTCTGGGCACCCGAACGCGCCTCTTCTTCAAAGCGGGGGCGCCTAGCGCGCGGGGAGGTTTCACCCCGCGGCGGGAGGTGCCGAGTGGCCCCGGCGGGCGCTCGCCTCTTACCACGAACTCCTCCAGAGTCTGGTAGATCTTGCCCCGGAACTCGCAGTAGTTCTTCCTCTCCTTGCACTGCGGGCAGCACTGGCTCGTGTCGACGTGGATGCAGCGCGGGTGCAGCCGCGGGCACTCGGGCTGCGCGCACAGCGGCCCCTCCTCGGTGCACAGGCAAGGGCAGGCGGAGGGGCCCGGAGCGAACTTCTCCCCGATGGCGTACACGAAGCCGCTCTCGTCCACGCAGCCCTTGCCGCGGTAGTCCGGGTACGCGTACTCCTCCGGCGGCTCCGGCGTGGGCGCCAGGTCCGGGCCGGCCGCGTCCTGGGCGGCGGCGGCGGCGGCCAGGGGCTCCCCGTGCGGGGTGTCCCCGCGGGGCCGGCCCTGCAGGTCCCCGGCCTTGGCGCCCCCGCCCTGGGCGGCCCAGGCCTGCTTCTGCTTGCTCCACGCGTCCCGGCCGGCGAGCCCGCGGCCGCCCTTGCCCTTCCAGTCGCGGCCGCCGCCGCCGCCGCCGCCCTCGTCCCTCGCGGGGCGCCCGAGCTCGCTCACCCGCCCCGGGCCGTCCCGAGACGCGTGCTCGCGCTTCTCCGGGCCCGGCTGCTCGGGCGCCTGGGCCAGCTTCTCCAACGGGATGCTCGGACTGCACAGAGCCACCATCAGGCAGCAGGTGACCAGGAGGGAGCTGGACAGCGCGCCAACTGCCATCGCAGGGGAGCGGGGCACCCCCTACCACGTCCCGGCGGGCGGGCGGGCGGGGAGCGCGGCCGAGGGGCGAGTCGCATTCACGGCCCGGGGGCGCGCCGCCGCCAGCCGGGAGCCGCCGTCCCTGCGGAGAGAACAGCAGCACAGCTGAGCCCCGCGGCCCGCGCGCGCCCGGCCCCCGCCCGGCCCCGGCGGCGCTCCGGAGCCACGAGCCGCGCGGCGCGGGCGGGGGCCGGGCGCTGCCCCGCGTCGGGGCCCAGCCGGCCCCCCAGACCTCACAGATGGTGCACACGGACGTGGCAGCGAGGTCCCGGGGAGACGCCGGCCCGCGGCGGGTCTCCCGCGGAGGGAACGGCCCTGGGCGGGTGGCGGAGCCGAGGCCGCCGCACCCGCGCCCCCTGCGAAACTCGGATGCAGCCACATAATCCGGGAGCTCGGGATGTGCCCCCTGGGGTGCTAGCCACGCGGTCCCATAGGATACTAAACGGAGAATTCCGCAGTGGAGTTGGACGCGGGAGACCATGCGGGATGATCAGGGAGGGGGGTGCGGGGAACCCTCCCTGGCTCGCCTTAGGGCGTTGGGGGAACGGGGCGGGAGGGGGTTAACAGAGCTCCCAGGACCCCGCGATTCATTCCCAACAACTTTTCAAACGCCTGCAGGGCAGGGAGCGGAAGCCGCTTCCCCGTCCTCCTCCCCCGGCCCCAAAGCCGGGAATCTGGTCTCCCACCGCCCCCGGCGGCGGGCTCCGGGGTCCCGGAGGCTTCGGCTCCTCCACCGGTCCCCGCGCGCCCGCCCGCCCAGACCTCGGCGACTCGGAGGGTTGGCGAGAGACCCCCCCCCCCCCCCCCGCCTCCCGCGCCGGCCGCAGCGCTGCATTCGTGACCGCTTTCAACCAGGATTGGGGCGTGGGGGGGTTTCGTAGCGGCGGGGCAGAAGTGCCCAGGCAGCACCGAGGTGTGCGGTGGGGCGCGAGGGCCGGGGATGCAGGGCGGGGGCGAGTCCCTCTCACTTTCTCCCCGACTCCGAAAGCCTCTCTGGATCTCAAAGTTTCTGCCGCCCAAAGGGGCCATGAGAACCCTAGACGCTTCAGGGTGCGGGCAACCCAGCCTCGGCCCACCTCGCTCTCCACTCTCCACCCCTGTGCCGGGCGCGCTCCAGGGGCGTCTTTACCCCGTCCCACCACCACCACCACCACCCAAACGCCCCTCCAGGAGAGCTGGGTCAACAGTGCCCTGGCTCGATGGACCTCAGCCCGGGGTGAGCCGCCAGATTTACAAACTTGGGGTCGGGGGCGGGAGGATGGGGTCCTCCCGAGCAGCAAGAGGGCAGAACGTTGCGCCGGGCGCGGACACCCCACATGCACCCTCGGGTCCCGGGGGCGGGCGCCCAGCCTACGTACATGAGCGCAGGGCGCGGGCCGGGCGCCGGGCTGGCGGAGGGCTCCGGAGTGGCAGCGGCGGGCGCGGTCCCAGGGCGCCGGCGCCCACCCTCCGGCCGGCGGGGGAGCCGCGCGGGGCGGCGAGCGCAGCCCCACCTGCGCGCTCCGCCCGGCGCGTGCACCCGGCTAGGGCGGCTCCGCGGGCTGGCCCGGCGCGCTGCCCAACCCGTGTCCGCGCCCGCGCCGCCCTCCGCCGCGCCGCCCCGGGTCTCGTCCCCGCGTCTCCGCCGCCGAGCGCGCCCTGGGGGCCGCCGGGCTCGGCCTCGCCTCCTCCACCCGCTGGGCGCGGGCAGATCGCCGCACCCCGCGACCGCGGGCCGGGCCGCCGCGGCGCGTCCGAGGGCGAGGAGACGCCCGGAGCGCGGGCGGGTGGCACCGAGGCCGGCGAGGGAGCCCGCGCGCCCGCCTCCGCCTCCCCCGCCCCGCGCGCTCCCCGCTCCCTCCGCGGCGGCCCTTGCTCTCTCGCCAGGCGTCGCTGCGCCGGCCCCGCGCCGCGGGGGGTTGGGGACCTGTCGCCCCCTCGCTCCGGGCCCGGCGGCGCGACCCACCTGTTAGACCCCCCCCTCCCCCCTCCTCCCCGCGCGGCTGCCGCGCTCCGCCTAGTCACTCACTCTCCACTGGACCTTTCATCCGCGCCTTTTCTTTTCCTTGATTCTTTGCTTTAATGTCTTCCTTCCTAATTGGCCCCCTCTGGCCTTCCTCCCCGCGGACAGCTGGGTTTTGCCGCTGCTGGAAAACCGGAGCCAAACTGCGTTCGATTTGGAATTCGAAGGCCGCGTTAGCTCGGCCGACTGTTGGGAGTTACTTGCCTCTTTACATTCGGCGACCCAGAGGTATAGACGTGTGAGAGTAAGAAACGCATAAAAATCCACACAGCGTCCCTTCTGAACGTCTGCCAATCTCGCTCCCGCCCCCCGGCCCCCGTTCCCTGCTCGCTCGCTCTCTGTCCGCCACGAGTGGAAACGTTTCGGGTTAATTGTTGTAAGGATGCTAAACTGCTGAGCGGAGCCCCGTGCGGTTCAGACGTGGATTTGCTCTTTGATCCTGGGCATCGGATGTGTTACTTTTCTTGGATGCAGGAGGGGGGGGGGGGGGAGGGAAGTACCTGTTCAAATTAACTCCAAAAATGGAATTTTTATAAGGCTTGTGTGCCTTCCCGGAGCAATGTTAACCTGAGAATCGCTGAGAATGCTCAGATGCAGAACACCCCTCTTCCCAGAAATGTCAGGCTCTGAGGGGGTGGGAGGGGAGGAGGACCCCGAGACGAATTCCTGTTCTCCCGCACCTCTTTATAGGGGACCAGCCAGATGAACATGGGGCGCCACAAAGGACAGGGAGCCACAGGAAGCCTGAGGGCAAGCTGCTTCCCCTTGTCCACAAAAACAAAAACAAAACTAACCAACGAGCAAAAAAAACCCCAACAACCCAAACCAAAAAACCCCCAAAACAAAACAAAACAACAAAAAACAAAAATAAATAAATATAAAGTTAAAAAGCCATGGCTAAGGATTTCTACGTCCACAATGATTTGAGCCTTTCTGCCTTAAAGCCCCTAATGTCCCTTCTTCCTGTCACCTCACCTGGAGAGGCAGGTCACATGGTCCCAGGCTAATTCTCCTGCGGTGTTTAACTTTCACATCTGTTTTGCTAAGTGCTGTCACGTGGTTGCACTGGGGGTGGTCCCAAGCACAGGTAGCTAATAATACAACCCTCCCCTCCGAGTATGTGGGCAAGATTGACTTCTAGCTGAAAAATTGGTTGGGGGTCCGATTGAGGGAATCACGATGTCTCTGTATCGATCCCACCTCAATCAGTGTTCCCGTGGAATCAGAAAGCCTTTGTCCCAGCCGCCTGGGCACAGTGGAGAGCCACGATTATGACAGTGAGGCTAGCACGAAGAAGCCTGACAAAATTAGGAGCTAATTGTGCGACCCAGCATCCAAACCACTTTCTGTCAGAGGCTCTCAGAGGTGGTGGGATGAAATGAAGGGGGAAAGCAATTTTAGAAGTGCTTCTGTCCTTAGTGAAGAAAAACAATACAGCAGCCTTGATTAGCTGAGAAATTCAAGGAAGTGTTGGGATTTTGCAGGCTTCAGAATTTATTGTGTTGGCCACAAATTGTTCAGATCCTTCCTCCCTCCTTCTCTCCCTTCCTATCTTCCTTCCTTATTTTCCTTCCTTCCTTCCTTCCTTCCTTCCTTCCTTCCTTCCTTCCTTCCTTCCTTCCTTCCTTCCTTCCTTCTTTCCTTCCTTCCTCTCCTTCTGTATTTGTCTACTGTCTCCTCAGGCTACAGATTAAGAGATGGCAGCAGAGACCTGGTATCTCAGGGGCTTTGTTTTTTCATCTTCAAAAGGAAGAAAAGAGAATCTCCAAATGGATAGGAAGCCCAGCGTAGTCTTGGACCGTGGTGTATTTCTGCCCCAAATCTGTTCCCTCCATCTTTCCTTCTGGGAGCCAGAGTTAAGCATGGCCTCGCTTACTCAACGGTGCATCTTAGAGTAAGTGCCCATCCGTCCTGAGCAGCAGACAGAGGAGATTGGTTTCCAGGCCAAGGTCAAAGTTGACTCTTCTCTTGTCTCTTCTATTTTAACTTTTTAAGTTTATTTATTTATTTTGAGAGAGAGAGAGAGAGGCAGAGAGAGAGAGGATCCCAAGCAGGCTCCGCACTGCCAGCGCAGAGCCAGACACAGGGCTTGAACTCAGGAACTGCAAGATCATGACCTCATTTCGTGCAGAACTTTGGCACAGCCACATTTAACTTGAATTCCAGACTCTGACCGGCAAAGAGGAGTAGCGATAAAACTGTCACCTTTCAAGGGTCCAAAGGAGGCAAAAAGCTACTTCCATAGGCAGTCAAGGGGGAGCAGGGCTTTTTCGGTCCAGACCGAAGGTTGACCAACTACTAACTCAGCTTAATGAGCAGGAGAAGCCACCTTTGATCCTCTGGTGGCTTTTTATGAGTGTGCACAGCGCAGGCCTGGCGGTTAAGGAAGCCACTAATTAAAGTTCTGTTCTCGATTGGGCCGCTGGTCAGCAGAGGCGACAGACTTCCGCTTACCCTTTGATACATGCCTGGGGTTGAGAGTAACTGCTCCCCGGGCCAGCCCGCTGCACAGGCTGCTTGATTACACTGCACTTCTGAGACTCACCCTTCTGCTGTCCTGCCAAACGTCAGCAGTGATTCGAGGGGATGATTCACAGACATTCTTCTAAAATCAGGGGCAAAACCGAGTTCCCCGAAAGGAGGCACCCAGGGATCCATTTGTAATACGCGCTACAGCGATCCATTTTTAATACACGCTAAAGTCATCCACTGCGTTAACATCACAGACCTCAGACACGTTGGCCGCCGAGAAGGTTTCAGAAACAATCGTTATGAAACAGGAGCCCGTCAGAATCTGGAATCTGGAATCTGGTCTGGAGCACTTCTGATACAGGATAAGTTTCCTCTTTTTTGTTTGTTTACTTATTTATTTTTGAGAAAGAGAGAGAGAGCAGGGGAGAGGCAGAGAGGGGAGGAGACAGAATCCCAAGCTGACAGTGCAGAGCCTGAGCCTGTCACGGGGCTCCATCTTACGAACTGTGACATCATGACCTGAGCCAAAATCAAGAGTTGGAGCTTAACTGACTGAGCCACCCAGGTGCCCCCAAGATATGTTTTCTCATGACTGCATCTCTGGTCCATGGTCTTCCCAGGAGTCAGGCACCAGGCCCGGATATGGCACATCCAGAGACCAGACATTATTTCTACTCTCTTCTCAGGCCCCCCAAAGTGGGCCATGCAGGCGTGCCTGGCTGGGCTGATAGCAGTATTGGGGAGGGGGGGGCTGAGAACACAAATGGGCGGTACATGCCTCTTTGGTGAAGAATCAGGTGATGCATCCTCCTGAGTGATTTCTCTCCCAAGCCCCAAGCTGGTTGGTTTCTGGAACCTTCCATGGTATACCAAGGGGACTTTGAAATGCTCTGGAGTGTCTCAACATTTTCTGTGAGGTGATGGCGACCTAAGGACGGGGGATGGGGTGGACTATAGAAGTTAGTTCTGGAGACGGTCAGTCAGGGACACTCCTTGGGCTCAGACAT